GGCCACCACATAATATTGAAAGGATCTATCCAGCAGGAAGATATAACCTTGATAAACATATATACGCCCATTATAGGAGCACCAAGATATATTTAAAAACTTCTGCAGGACTTCAAAGGAGAAATCAACAGCAATACAATCATAGCAGGGGACTTCAACACCCCACTGACATCACTGGATAGATCATCTAGACAAAAAATTAACAAGGAAACACAGACTATAAATGATGCACTAGATCAAATGGATTTAATAGATATCTACAGAGAATTACACCCCAAAACTATAGAATTCACATTCTTCTCAAGTGAACATGGGATATTTTCAAAGATAGACCACATGTTAGGACACAAACTAAGTCTCTACAAGTTCAAGAAGATTGAAATCATATCAAGCATCTTCTCAGATCACAATGGCATGAAACTAGAAATCTATTACAGCAAAAACATGCAAAGATATATGAACACATAAAGGCCAAATAGTATGTTATTAAAAATAAATAAGTTACCAAAGAGATCAAGGAAAAAATTAAAATCTTCCTGGATACCAATGGAAATGAACACACAACAACACAAAATCTAAGGGACTCAGCAAAAGCAGTCCTGAGAGTAAAGTTCATAGCACTACAGGCCTACCTCAAGAAACAAGAAAAATTTCTAATTGACTATCTAACCTTACAACTTATAGAACTATAAAGCAAACAAAAAGAAAAACCCAGAGTAAGTAGAAGGAAAGAAATATTAAAGATCAGAGCAGAAATAAATGACATAGATACCAAAAAAAAAAAAATTCAAAAGATCAATGAAACAAAGAGCTGGTTCTTTGAAAAGATAAATAAAATTGATGGACCATTAGCTAAACTCTCCAAGAAACAAAGAGAGAGGACCCAAATAAACACAATTAAAAATGAAAGATTAGGAAGCGGGTTACAGACTGACAATCCCCTAAAGAGGGGGATGGTGGGGGAGAGATAAACCACTGAACTTATATGCATGTATGCATGAACAGTGGACATGGACAACAATCTGGGGAAAGGGCAGGGAGAGAGGGGGAGGGGGGAATCAGTGGGGGAAAAAGGAGAAACTTCTGTAACAAAAATTAATTAATAAAAAAAAATATGAAGGATTAGAAGTAACTACTGACACCACAGAAATGCAAAAGATTGTTAACAAATACTATAAACAGTTATACAGCAACAAATTGGACAATCTAAGTGAAATTTCTAGAAACACATGGTCTGCCAAAACTGAACCAGGAAGAAATAGGAAACTAGAACAGACAATAACAACTAAGGAAATGAAAGATATAATCAAGACTCTCCCAGCAAACAAAATCCAAGGCCTGGACAGCTTCACAGGGAAGTTTTAATGACATTCAAAGAACTAACCCATTCTTCTCAAACTATTCAAAAAATTTAAAAGAAGAAAGATTTCCAAACTCATTTTATGAGGCCAGCATAATTCTAATTCCAATAGCAGATGAAGATACTACAAAGAAAGAAAACTACCAGCCAATATCCTTGATGAACATAAATGCCAAAATCCTTAATAAAATATTATCAAATTGCATCCAGCAATACATTAAAACAATTATTCACCATGACCAAATGGGATTCATCCCAGGGATGCAAGACTCATACAATTTTTGCAAATCAATAAATGTGATACACCCCATAAACAAAATGAAAGATAAAAACCATATGATTATATCAATAGATGCTGCAAAAGCATTTGAAAAATCCAGCACCCATTTCTGATAAAAATGCTCAGCAATGTGGGAATAGAGGGATCATATCTCAACATAATAAAGGCCATATATGAAAAACCTACAGCCAACATCATACTCAATGGGCAGAAACTAAAAACATTTTCTTTAAGAACAAAAACAAGACAGGGATGCCCACTTTCACCACTCTTATTAACATAGTACTGGAAGTCTTAGCCACAGCAATTAGACATGAAGAAAAAATAAAAGGGATTTAAATTAGAAAGGAGAAAGTGAAACTGTCATTACTTGCAGATAATATGATATTGCACATAAAAAACCTTAAAGACTCCATCAAAAATCTAAGATTTAATAAATGAATCTGACAAAGTAGCAGGATACAAAATTAATGTCAAGAAATCAACAGCATTCTTATACACCAATGATGAATTCACAGAAAGAGAAACTAAAAAGACAATCCCATTTACCATTGTGACAAAAAAATTAAGATACCTCAGAATAACCTTAACCAAAAAAGTAAAGGACCTATTTGCAGAATACTATATGACATTGAAAAAAGAAATAGAGGAATATAGAAAAAAGTGGAAGCATATACCTTGTTCATGGATTGGAAGAAATAACATCATTAAAATGTCCATACGACCAAAACAATCTATTGATTCAGTGCAACCCCCATTAAAATACCAAAGACATATTTCACAGAACTAGAGCAAGTACTCCAAAAGTTTATATGAAACCAAAAAAGAACCTGAACTGGTACAACAATTTTGAAAAAAAAGGACAAAGTAGGAGGGATCAGAATATCGGATATCAGGTTATACTACAAAGCCATTGCAATCAAAACAGCCTGGCACTGGCACAAGAACAGGTATATAGATCAGTGGAACAGAACCGAGAACCTGGAAATTGATCCAAGACGTTATGCTCAATTAATATTTGACAAAGTGGCAAGAGCATACAATGGAGTAAAGACAGCCCCTTTAATAAATGGTCTTGGGAAAACTGGACAGCTACATGCAAAAAAAAAAGAAACTAGACCACCAACTTATACCATACACAAACATAAACTCCAAATAGATAAAAGACTGAAATGTGACTCATGAATTCATAAAAATCCTAGAAGAAAATGTAGGCAACAAAATCTCAAACATCATATGCAGCAGAATTTTCACTGATACAACACCTAAGGCAAGAGAAACAAAGGAAAAAATTAATACATGGGACTACATTCAACTAAACAGCTTCTGCACAGCAAAAGAAACAACCATCAAAATGGGAATGGAACCCACTATATGGGAGAGCACAATTGCCAACAATACATTAGATAAGGGGTTAATTTCCAAAATATATAAAGTGCTCATACAACTCAATAAAAGGAAGACAACCCAATTAAAAAAAGGACAGAGGACCTAAATAGACACTTCTCCAAAAAAGACATACAGATGGCCAAGAGACATATGAAAAAATACTCAAAGTCACTAATTATCAGAGAGATGCAAATTAAAACAACAATGAAGTATCACCTCACACCTTTCAGAATGGCTGCCATTAATAAATCATCACACAAGAAGTGCTGTAGGAGGTGTGAAGAAAAGGGGAGTCTAGTACATTGCTGGTGGGCATGCAGACTGCATCCACTGTGGAAAACAATATGGTGTTTCCTCATATAATTAAAAATTGATCTGCCATTTGACCTAGTGATCCCACTTGTAGGAATATATCCTTAGAAGCCTGAAACACCAACCAGAAAGAATATATGTACCCCTATGTTCATAGCAGCACTATTTACAATTGCTAAGCTCTGGAAACAGCCCAAGTGTCCATCACTAGGTGAGTGGATAAAAAAAGCTGTGGTACATATACACAATGGAACACTATGCAGCTGTAATAAAGAAAGATCTCTTATACTTTGAGACAACATGGAGGGATCTGGAGAGCATTATGTTAAGTGAAATAAGCCAATCAGAGAAAGACACATATCACATGATCTCACTTACTTATGGAATATAATAAACAAAATAAGCTGATAAACAAAATAGACCCAGAGACATAGAATGGAGTGTGGTACAGACTGACAAACCTCAGAGGAGGAGGGCGGGGGGGGGGGGATGGATGAAATAAACCAGAGAATTTATATACATGTATGCGTAACCAGTGGACATGAATGGCAATGCTGGGGGTGGGGCCGATTGGGGAGGAGGGTGTCTGGGGGGCAAAAAGGAGAAACATCTGTAACAAAAATAAATTAATACAAATTGAAAAAAAGAAATAATAAAGTAGGAGGAAATTTTCAGTGGTGATGGATGTATTTATATTCTAGATTGTGGAGATGTTTTTGTGGATGTATAGTTATTTACAAATTCATCAGTTGCATCCATTAAATGCAGGTTTTTGCATGTCAACCATAACTCAACAAAGTGATTTAAAAAACAATAAGAAACAAAGCAAGTTCCAGAAGCATATTTTATACTTACACAAAATTAGAAAATTTGCACAAAACAACCTCATAGTATGTTGTTTGATGATGTATACATATATTAATATGATGATGGAAAAATTAAAGATATATATATATATATATATAGATAAACACAAAATGAATGATAATGGATACCTTTTCGTGAGGAGAGAGAAGAAGCAAGTAGAGAAGAATATATCCTGGCTTCTGTTATTTTGTGGTATTTTTACGTCATATTCTCAATGGAGTGAATGCAGAGAACAAGAGTTACCTTATTCTCTCCATTTATGTATCTGAAATATACCACAGTAAATAAAAAGTATTTTCCATTTTGAAAATAGTTAAATGTCATTTGAGGCTAAGTCTGATGAATAAGGTAACCAAGACATTTTGAATATAAATGATTAAAAATGAGGCAAGATTTTTAAAAATTCTGTGTGCATGTTATAAACGGGTCCTGAAACATTTCATCAATAATAGTTTTTGTAAAATTGTTATTTCTGAGTATAGCTTCTCAAAGTGACTTCTTTGCAGGGAACAAGGCTCATGTGAATGTATAAGATATCCAAATTACAGTTTGTATGTTTAAAAACTCAGCCTCCATTATTCATTCCATCACCTTTGAATAGAGATATTGATTCCACAAGAGAAACTAGGCAAATGTGGAAATACCTCTATGTCAGAGAAGAGCTCATCCAAGTATTCAAAGATGTTTTTCTTGGAAATATTGATATGCATAGGAATTTCTTTGAAGAAACTTTTCTACAACATTTATATTTTACTAAAAGCCTCATAAAAGAACTATTTTATTTACCACTAGGCACTAGATGAACCCTCCAAGGACAGTGTCTCCAAGGACAACACGTTAGACCCACCTCTGGAGGTAATGACTTCATATTACCCCTGCTTTTGACATGCAATCCCAAAACTCCTTGCTAACTCAGTACCTGGTTTCAATTCTTCCAGTTTTGTTTTCCTGCAAAGCTCAGGCAGCAAACTGAAGAGGTCTGTGCTACCATTGATAAGGTCTTACAGGATTCCTTGTCTATGGTAATGCCTTAGACTAGAATGTGCAATTCAAACATTTGCTTGGCTTCTCTTCATTTGCCTCTACTTGAGTATGATGCATCACAGGATTTTTATTTATTTTTTTTATTTTCCAGCATTCTCCTCATTCTCCTTCAAGTTCCCTACAGACATTGTTGGGTTCTGACACTATCAAAGTATGTATATGTTTAATATAATTTACTGAATCTTAGAGTTTCTATGTCAATGATTTGTAAGCTGCAGGTCAAAGCCCAGTAGTGAATTGGGAAATTAATTTAGTGAATAGCAACTAGCATTTTATTTTTTGTTAGCAAATGGCATTTTAAAAATAGACTAGTAAGAATGTAAAATATCAGACTTTATTCTAAGTAGTGTAGATATTGTTGAAATTTATTTCCACTTATTTACTTATACATATATAGGTATGCGTGTATATATTTGCAAAGTAAAATCTGTTTCTAACTATGGACCAAGTTAAAACCAACATAGTAGACTGTGTTATACGTTGGCATTTTCAGAAGCTATATGGAAGTAACTGCATGTAGAATGTGTTGCCTAATCTCATTTCACACCATATCTTCAGTACTTTTGTAATTCACAGCCATTTAGAATTGTAGAAGTGGATAATGAAATAGGTTAAAGCAGCATTAGTCTAAGAGCTTTAACACAGGTATTATTTCCAGAATATTTTTTTTCTTTTGGTTGACGAAATCTATTTCATTGTTCTTTGACCCAGAGGGATAGAAACCTGAATATTTTAGATTGTTATAGTACTACTAAAGCATTAATTGTTGCATTTACACAATTAAATATTTTCTTCTTATAATGTAGCCATTTTCATTTGTTGGAATAAAATGCTACATTTTCCCAATATTTTTGCATGCTTAATACAGACCTACTAATCCGAATTTCAAAATGGTCGTGCTTTTTTCTTGATTGATAATTATTAGGTTTATTTATTTATTTATTTTGTCAGCCTTATATTCTCTTTTGGAGTTAGTAAATTTTTTGCATGTCCTTTTTAAAAAGTGGACACTGTGTGTATAAAGCAGGTTTTAAATGTAGAAATTGCTTATAATTAGAGGGTAATCCTAATTATCAGTTGGAACATTATAGACAAATATCCATTAATAATGGCACAGAAACCTGGTAACCATTGATTGTCAGTTTTAAAAGATTATATTTTAGCAGAGAGGACCTACAAATGAATAATTTTAGTTTCTGTGTCTGTGTTTATTATCTATTTATTCGTATATTCTTTGCCTTTTAATCTAAAAATATAAACTTTGTTCACTTTGCCAAAGAAATACTATGTAAACTATAAAATATATTTTTTATTATTTTATTTGTTGAATATATTAAAAATACCCTATATTATATTAACAATAATGGGACGGTGTTTAAATAGCAATGCATGAATAATCATCCTTATTATTGATTTACTTAACAAATATTTAATGCTAGTAGTATTTAGAAACATTATTCTAGGTCACTGTTTTTGAGGCAATTAGTTCATTCAACAATATTTATTAAGTGCCTACTATGGGTCTGGTATTGTTAGGCATTAGGGAGATAATAGTGAACAAGGCAGAGTAACCTAGAGGGCCATACTTTGGATGTAGTGATCAAAAGTAGAATTCAAGCTGAGACCAAAGATGTAAAAACCCAACCATAGAAACATTAGAGAGAACAGCTTTCAGGCAGAGGAGCAAACATATGCAAATTTCCATACAGGAGAGTGCTTAGTGTACACAGAGATGAAGAGAGGTGTGGTTGCAGTACAGTGAGCCACGGGTAATAGGTGTAAAATGAGACTGAGAAGGTGGGCTAGAGACAGTGAAAATACTTATAGGCCATGACATGAAGTCTGAGTTCCAGGGAAAACAGGAAGACATACATATATAGTGGAAATATTATGATACCATTGAAAATATCACAATGAATGCTGGGAGGAGGCTACTGAGGTCAGAAAGGCAGTCGTTGAAGTTGGCCTGGTTAGGATGGGTTCATAGGCAGAGAGGAGTGTGGGGGTATGAGAGAGAGATTTCAGACTTGCTGCAGGTTTGTATGAGTGTGGAGGAGAGAAGAATCATGGGTCAACTCTAGGTCTCTTCCTTGAGCACAGATGACTGTGAAGGAGGTGCAGTGTGGTAGAGAAAAGGGAGTTGATGTTTGTTTTGGACAAGATGACTTGGAGGAATGTTTCAAGGAGGAATTAACCCTATTCATCTGGAGATAGTAGGAAAGGTCTGGGGGCCAGCACCTGGATGCTGCGAGTACTTTTTACAGAGCTCCAAGGAATAAAACATTGTAGGGCCAATGAAGGAGGTGAAGCTGAAAAGGGGGAGAAAAAATCCAATGCAAAAATATCAGAGCAGTATGGTGTCATGAAGGCTACAAGAAGACAGTATTGAAGAGCATGTAACTACAGTGATTGCTGCCAGGAGGAAGAGAAAGCTAAGGCTGGAAAAGCATTTATTAGATTTGACATGTATTTTGAAACTGTATTGCTCTTTCTTATGTGTTGGTGTTCATTGTCATCTTTTTGTTTTTTATAACTTTTACTACCATGTATAATCCTTTTGAAACTAAGGTTGTGTTGTCCATCTAGTATGAAAGAAGTGATCTTATATAAATTATATATATACCTTTTAATTCATGTTTTGTTAATTATTTTATTACTTCATTTTATGCTACTTTAAAAAATCAATTTCTATTACTTTAGTTTTACCTTTCTGTACCCTCTTGTTTAATTTTCTTTAGGACAAAATTTCTGGATATCAGTCTCATATTCAGTCTGAGGTTCTCTTTATCTGGGACCTTCAGCCATTTATAATTATTATAATCCTTATTATAGTAATACTAATTTCTATCTTATTTTATATTTTCTACTTAAAATGTTATCTATTTTTGCCTTTCCTCTTACTTTTAGATATTTGACATTTACTGGTTTGAATCTTTTTGAAAAATTTACTTTATATTTTTGTTAGTTTTTATAGTTACACATAAATTATTAAAGACAATAATTATGTTTATTTTCCTATCAATTTTAAAGCTTACAAATATTTTTCCCCCAAATTAGGTAAGTACCGAAGCACTTTCACTTTTCACATGTTTTTAATCAAGTTACACACTCACACAGACATAATTTGTTAGTATATTTTGGACTTTTGTATGTGAACTATTATGGTTATATTTTCACTGATCTCTTCATTATTTAGATACTTATTCCTTATTTAGGTTCTTCTCACAAATTCATAGCTTTATCATGGGTTTTCTCTTTTTCTTGTTGGAATCTTGCTGAAAGTTGTATTTAGCAAGGTCTGATTGTGTTGATTCTATGGCCTCTGTCCCTGAAAATGTCTTTTGTTTTACTCATTCATATAAATTATAGTTTCGCTGGACTTAACATTATAGATTCTCTCTTTTTGACACTTTTTAACCCAGGTTCGTTTACTTTAACAACATTCTTATAAAATATTTTGTTAGCATGATTTTTTATGCCTCTGCTGGAGAGTGGTCACTTTTAGTATTTTATCTTTGTCTATGATGTAACTGGTTTTTCCTATAGTGTGTCTAGTTGTGCATTTTTTTTCTTACGTATCTGGATTGGTACTCTCTTTCACCTTTCACTTGGGGCCTTTACTTTTTTCTTCTTACATTGATGATAATTTTTAGTCACTTCTTCAAATGTTTCTTTCCTGCTGGGACTGTTATAACACGGATGTTATCATTTTTGCTTCTGTATTCTATCTCTCTCAAATGTCATATATTTTTTCAACTTATTGCTTCCTAATTCCTTCAAGAGGATGTCTTGATCTGCTATTCCAGTTAAAAAATTTGTTCAGTGTCTATTTTGTTCTTCAATGCCTATGGAAAAAGTTCTTTTTCAAGCTTATATAGTTCTTTTATTTCAAGTCATGTTTATTGAGGTATAATTTACTCACTGCAAAATTTACCCTTTCAGTATACAGTTTTATGACTTCTGACAAAGCATACAGTTATGTGATCACCCCCACATCCAAGATACAAAACACTTTCATCAAATAGAAAAGTTCCCTTCTGTTCCTATATCCTTCTCTCCAACTCAAGTGCTGGGCAATCACTAATCTTTTCTCTGTCTCTATACTTTTACCTTTTCAAATTTCATACACAGTAAATAGAATTATACAGTATATAGTCTCTTGAGTCTGACTTTTTCTACTTAGTAGAAGGCAACTGATTGGATTTGTTCATATTTTTGCATGTGTCAATAATTTATTTCTTTTTATTGCTCAGTAGCATTTCATTGTATGGTTGCACCATGTTTACTATATGTCAGTTGATGGACAATGAGGTTATTTCTAATTTGGGAGCATTACTAATAGAGCTGCTAAGAGCATTTGCAAACCAGACTTTGTATGGTCATATGCTTTCATTTCTCTTGGGCAAAGACCTACAAGTGAAATGACTCAACCGTTAATTTGTTTTTACAGTATTTCCATTTTTTCAGATGTCTTATAAGTTTTCCACAAAAACTCAATTTTCTCAGCTAGCTTAGCTGTATGTATGTCTGATACCTGCGGTGGCAGGTACAAAAGCCTAGTTCCTAGAATTTCCTAATTCTACTTTTTGTTTGTCTATTGGTTTGTTTTTTGGTGAACAGGAGTTGCACGTGTCTCTGAATACAGAAACTCCATAATATCAACAATTTCTCACTTGCCACTCCCTCCCTGCCTCAGTGACACTGGCCATCACCTTTGCCCCCTGCACCTCTGCTAATGGCATTTGATAGTCCTCTTTTCTAATTTCGGTCCCAGTTGTCATTACTAAGGAAGGGATTTAAAAAAAGAAAAAAGAAAAAAGGATTCCTCAGAAGCTGGCCAGGTGTCCAAACCTAAAATTAACTCTTCTCTCCTTTTCACTTAGGCTGAAGGACCACCTTGATGTTATCCTAGTAGATTCTTCTTTTCACTGTCTGTCTCGTCCCTACACTTTCCTCCTCACACCGCCTCTTTGCTCTCCTTATCTCTGGTGGTGAGAAGTGTTGTGAATGAGAAAGCAGAGACAGACTATGAAAACAAATAAACAAAAACAGCTACTTTGGAAGGTTGGGTTATGAAAGGGAGAAGGAAATTGGATCAGTAATGGGGTCAAGGAATAATTTTTTGTCTGCTTTTTAAAGCTGAAAATGACAAGAGCAAGCTGATATGCTAATAGGGTTGATTAGGTACAGTGGGAGATACTGTTTATACAAAAGAAAACTAGAGCCTCATTGAAAGTGGTATCCTTTGATAAAAGGCAGGAAATGTTCTTGTAGCATTTTAACAGGCCAGAAAATAGAGGACATGACAGGTACAGAGGCAAGTATGTTAGTAGGTTGATGGTAGGAAATAGAAGAATTTTATAACTAATACTTTTAGTTATTTTATAACACCTTTCAGTGAAAAAAATAAGATTATTAACTGACATTAAAGAGGGACAGTCTAGTGGGGAAGAGTTTGAAAAAGAAAATATTTAAAAAAAGGTGTACGATTCTGCTTTCAATTTTTCTTCATTTTTCCTCTTAAATTCCTTCCATTCTGGATTTCTCCACTGTGCTACTCAAACCACTTTCCCCAAGTTTCTGGAGGTCCTCCCATTGCCATAAACTCAGTTTATAACTGATCTGAGCTGATCACTTCCTCCTCTTTGGTATACCGTACCTTACAGGCACCGTGCTCTCTGTTTCCCCTACCTCCCTTGTCATTTTTATTCTTTACTCTCCTTTGCTGGTTCATCCTCTTCTCAAACTATTGCATTTGGAATGCTCTGGGCTCGGTGCTTGGACTTCTCATTTCTCTCTATATTCATTCTTTTGGTGTTCTCATCTATTCTCCAATTTATATTTCTAGTCCAGGATTCTCCCCCAACTCTCGTCTCCTACTCTTCATTTTCATTTAGAGTTCTAATAAATATCTTAAAAGTGAAATCTAAATATTCTCCTATAAAAACTATTTTAAATCCCGCCTTCCCTTTTTTCTTTGACAGGACTACAAATTTTTCATGTGCTCAAGGCCAGAAACTTTGGTGTCAAGTATTATTTTTTTTCCTTTCTCTCACATTCGATTTCTTTTGTATTAGAAATCCTCTGGCTGTATATTCAAAATATATGTAGAATATGATTATTTCATATGTTATGTACTACTGAGCCATCATTGTGTTTTGCTGGATAGTACGGTAGCCTTTCTCCTATACCCTTGCCTCCCTATAATTTATTCTGAACACTTGAAACAGAGGGATACTTTCAAAGAATAGGTCAAATTATGACCCTCCTATTTGCTTTACACCAGCAGTGCCTATGTATTTGCCTCAGAATATAAGTCAAAGTCCTTACAAGACCCTGAGGGGCCTCTGCAACCTGTGCCCCTAACATTCCATGATCTGTTCTCCAACTTCCCTCTGTACCCACTTCACCCCAGTCCTGCGGGCCTCTGCTGGGCCTCGACTGTGCCGTGCTACTGCCTTAGCACCTGTAGTTCGTTCTCAGTCAACTATATCCCTTTAAAAATGTCTAGTTCACTGTAAAAATTTGCAAGCTTCACCTTTACCTCAAACGATATGGTTAGGTATGGTGGTTTTTAGTCTGGTTCTAAGAAAACAAATGTCTGGATTCTTTGTGGGTCTTTTATATTTTGTCGCTGTTCATTCGCACTCACATTGTCTTACCTCTTTCTGAATCTGATTGTGTGTTGGATATTCTACTTGAACATTTATTTGTAGAAATTATGTGAGGCCTCAGATGATATTATTTTCTCATTGAGAGTCTTTGCTTCTGTCTGACACCGGGAGCCCTAGCAAAAAAGGATTACCCTTAATTTAATCTAAGGTTTTAAGATGATTTTTCAAAAACAAACAAACAATTATTTGTAGATGATTTGAGGCTAGCCTGAAACCCATGTGAGATCTTCTGGATCACTCTTACTCCTGAACCTCAGTCTTTTCTTGGCTCTGGAGACTCTGACTTCTATCTCGCGACACCTCTGAGAATGTCAAACGTTTGGATCAGCTTCTCAAGCAACTCAACAGTATTTGCAAACACCCAAAAGCAAAAGCAGATCTCAAACGCCTGACTTCTCTCTGCAGACTCCCATTCTCTCCTGAGCTTGCCCCAAATTCTTCACTCTTATTAGCTCATTGATATTTTAATAAAATATTTTCCAAAATTTGCTCAACTTTGTTATTATCTATTATGGCAAGATTGCTTTGAGTTCCTTAGCCACCATCCTCAAAGGTGAAAATTCATATAAGCACTTTTGACACTTGTTCCATCTTGCTGGAATGCTTTTTATCTAGATGCCCACGTAGCCAACTTCCTCACCTTCTTAAAATCTTTGTTCAAATGGCACCTTCTCTACATGAACCATCCTATTTAAAATTGCAAGCCCTCAGCGCTCTTGACTTTCTTAACATTTGGGTGGTAGAAGCAAAGATTTCCTTTGGAAGAATGTGCTATCCAAGGCTTCAAATTATTTCAACTTTCTCTCTCTCTTTTTTTTATTGAGTTTGTCACATTCTAACATATGGTGTAATTTACTTATTCATTATTTTATTGTTTATTTTATCTCCTGCTGAAATGTAAGCTCCCAAGAGCAGGACATCTTTGTCTCGTGTTCACTGATAAGTCTGAAGTGTGCAGAACAGTTCCTGGCATACAGTAGATATATAATCTTTTTTGACTAGATAAATGAATTAAATAGCCAACTGATCTCAGAAAGTGGGGAAAATGATCTCAGAAAGTTGGGGGCTTGCCAGAAACTATTGAATGCCCATTTGAAGTTGATTTTTACTAATTTATAATGAAATCAATGAGCTCATTGAAAGGATTTCCCAGTAATATTTTGTTTCTCAGGAACAAGTTTAGAGAAAGTGGTTTTGTGTTGAGGGGGAGGGGATTCACAAGGAGAGAGGCAAAAGAAATTAGGGTATAAAATGACTGGGAATATGCAATATATTTACGCTAAGAGGTAATATAGGCCGAATGGAGCTTGTAAGGGTCAATGAATATGGAGTCCAGTGAGGCTGAGGCTGAAGAAATGTAGCATTAGGATATTTGAGAAATGAAAGTGGTGGCTAGGAGGTAGAGTTCTCAGAGTAGGATGTTAAAAATTGAAATTTTAGAGGTTTCCTATTTTATTTGTGAAGGCAAAATAAAGGAATGACTCTGGAAATGAATGATTGAAATGGAGTGGATGAGAATATCTTTGGAGTTGAACAGCTTAAAGAATTGAGAGTACAGGGACTTATATATAAATTTTAAAGTAGCCAAAAATTATATAAGGAACTATTATGATTCATGGATAAACATCAACAATAAATGAGGGAAAATTTACCAGAAAGCCAATAGATAACAGCAATGTAAAGAATATTAAAATGATATAGTTTAATAAAATAATTTTCAAAGGAAGAGGGGATTTTGTACAGAAAAGAGGCAGTAATGGTTAGAAAGTCTTAATAAGAAACAATAGGTGACACTTATCCCAGAAGTTAAATCTTTTAGTATTTTATTGACTACTTCAGTATTATAATTATTTTTATTTTTATTTTTATTTTTATACAGACACCTACAACTCTTCCAAGAGCAGCTGGTCGAGAAACCAAATATGTAAGTCGCTTCATAATTATACATACTGCTTTTTAATGGGTGTACATTGGAGGCAATTCAATTATACAGTAATCTAAATTGAATTTGCTGATATTTTTCATAAGTGGAAAGAGGTAAGATGGTATGATGGACCCAGATGTGGAAAATCAGGTTATATCGGGTAAGTTCACGAAATAAATTCCTTCTTAAGTGAAGTCTACTTTGATTAATTTCACTAAATAAAGCAGAACGTCAACACTTGCTTTGTCTTTCTAACGATCAAAGCTTAGATGGCATTTTTGTTTCTGTACTGGTTTATTGTAATAACTCAACACTATCCAATTCCCATACCTGAGACACTGATTTGTCAAATTCTAATAGAATTGTCAGTTTAGTTGATTTTGACTAGTTTGTTGCTTTCTTGCATTTAGATAATCAAATAAACCAATTTCCACTTATGACCAAAAACAGATTAATAATGAATGTGTAGACCCAGATTTCTACTCTTGATTCAACTAATTATGAGAGCAAGTTCTGAATGTCCTAGACACACACACACATGGCCTCACCCCATCCCTACTCTTTATTCACCTAATCATTTGTCATTTGGCCAGCTTCTGCTTCTGACCAAGCATATTATAGTAGAAATAGGATTGTCTCCTAAGCAAATGTTTAGTTTAATACAATCATTAAACTATTCATTTTATTATACATTATATTTTCTAATAGTTTTTATCACCCTCATGAGTAAATAGTTATTAAATTCATATTTTATGACCTACCTTTTTTGCAATTGATAAATTTCTGCCTTCATTTCAATCTTTGTAAGGCGAATAATAAACTGGGTGAAATTACAGAATTATACCACATTCAGGAAATGGTGTTTACAGGACATGGGTAGGAACACTACTTAGAGCATTTTATAGAGGTTTGCACTGTTATTTTTTGTTATTATTGGGAGCTGTTTGGAGTAATACTTAAAAGACTCAAAGCATTTGATAGGCTATCCTCAAGTTTACACCCTAGTGTTGCTGCTCAGTAACTATCCGATCCTGGAAAAGCCCTTAACCTCTCTGTGCCTTAGATTTTTCATATATAATATTGTGATACCAATAACCTTACTTGGTTGATTTAAGGCTTAGGTGGGTTAATGTATGAAAGGCCCTTAATGTATTTCTGATGCCCAGGAATTGCTCAATAAATAATAGTTCTTTTTCTTCCTCTTTTTATGCCCTTGCTTTTCCTTCATCCCTGCCTCCTCCCTTCTCTTCCTCCTTCCTACCTCGGAGAGACTAAAAGCCCTGCTTTAGCTGAGTTTCTTCATTCTTCATTTGGGTAAAGTAAAAGAAAATATCCTAAAGATGTTTCTATATATGACTAATACTTTCTACAAGAGCCAGACCTGGGAAAAAGTAGCTAGAATTTTTTTGGCTCTCTCAATCTTTCTTTCTCATCCACTCCTACTTTTTATCAGAATTCCTCTGAATCAGACTCAGTTACAATAAGAAACAGAAGGCTAATGCCTCTTTCCACCCCTCCCAGGGGTGGTTATTTTTATAGGAATTGGAATAATTCTGAAGGGGCTTCTTCGATCTCCATAGTTAGTGGTTATTTCAAATTATTCTTTAATCAGTTATCAGACTTAAAGTCAGTTAACATTTGCCCCAAACTTTGTGAGAACATCTGAGTTACTTGAAGTTTACATTGACTCATCAAACAATTTAGTATAAAGTAGAAAAAATGCAAACTCTGACTTTGATGAGAATCTTGACTTTGTTAAGTTTACTTTGTTGAATGAGAAGTTTGCTTTGGACTTTCTCTTACAATATGACATTTGAATTGTTGTTTGTGACACCTCAAATATGTTCATGCCTTTTAAAAGATTAGGCAGGAGCAATGCTTTACTAGTGGAAGGTAAAAACCAGTTCTTTGGTGCCAACTCATGATCGTTACACTTGTAAATATTTGGCTGCAATTGTTACATTTACAAAGTGATGTCTGATATATTTGTGAATCAGAGAAGTCTACAGACTTTAACATTTCAATATTTACCATATCTCTTCAAAACTTTGAAGAAAGTAGGTATCTTTACAAGATATACCTGCTGGGACTTGATGTGTTATTGACTTTGTAGAGTTTTTTATCTAAGACTCAAAGCAGGGATCATGAAATTTACCAACTCCTGCACCACAGAGGAAAATAGAGAGAAGACTTAAGTTAGATCCAAGAAAAAAGTTTTGAGGATATCCTTAACAGATTAGCACAGATCATTCAAAGTCCCTATTTCTGGGTGTTCTTTAAAAGTATAATATCTATGAATTGACTGGTGGAAACTCTAGTCAGTATTTTCTAGTACCAATGCTATTTTTTACAATTTTGTTCATTGATTTGACAAATAATTACTGTGTGTCTCCCATGTACTCACTGAGGAGTTACTAGGATGAGAGATGAACACAGTATGAGGGTCCCATTTCTGAAGCATATAATAGTGAAGACGGTAAACAATTAAAATAGTCAATGAACAAGATACTTTCGTATAGAAATTAGAGGAAAGCTGTCCAGAGAACTGATTGATGTTAAAACAAACTTATAAAGTTGCTAGATTTTAGTGTATCAGTATGTCCACTGGATTTCCAAATTTTCTGAGATGATTATAAAAGGTTTAATTAAATAATGAGAAAATGTATGACTAATTTCAAAGGCTGACTTTTCTCCATTGAAAGACAAGGAAACCAATGTAAGACAATTAGTTTCTTTCTTTTTTGAATCCTGACCTGAGGATATTTTTACATTTATCTTCAAAGACAGAGTGGCAAGGAGAGGAGAGGAGGGGGGGGGGGGGACGGGAGAGAGAGAGAGAAAGAAAGAAAGAGAGAAAGAGAAAAAGAGAAATGAGAAACATCGATATGAAAGGGACACGTGGACTGGCTGCCACCCACACTACCTCAACTGGGGCCGGGGACTAATCGCAACCGAGGTACGTGGCCTTGGTTGAACTGGAACACAGGACTCCCCCATCCGCAGGCCGATGCTCTAACCACTGTACTAAACTGGCAGGGCTAGTTTTTTTTTTTCCTCATTATTTATTGTATATATTGTTATATGTCCCACATTGCTTTATAGGATGACCCAGAGCAGTAAAAATTACCCAGCAAGTCAGGGCAATTAAAGTCAAAGTTTTCTCTAGTTATGGTATACTTGAATTGCAGATTATTTTAAAGTACAGTTGACCCTTGAACAACACAGTTTTGAACTTCACAGTTCTACTTATATTTTATTAAATAGTATAAGTGTATCTTCTTTTCCTTATGATTTTTAAATAACATTTTCTTTCTCTAGTTTATAGTATATAATACATATAGCATACAAAATATGTGTTAATCAACTGTTTAAGTTATCTGTAAGGCTTCTGGTCAGCAGTAGGCTATTTGTAATTAAGTTTGGGAGGAGTCAAAAGTTATCTGCAGGTTTTTGACTGTGTAGGAAGTCATCCCTAATTCCCACGTTGTTCAAGGGTCAACTGTGATTTGATTTAGGTTCTTTTAAGTGTAATGGAATTTAAACTAGGCTAATGACATGTTCAGTGATCGCCACAGGTCACTTGTGGGATTGGTTATATTAATTTATCATCAACATTTCAGTTTTCAACAGATGCCTAACTCAATAATAATAGTAACTAATATTTTGAATCTTATCTTCCAAATGAGGTTTAACGATCTCATTTAACCTTACATCAATCAGTCTTATGCGGTGGATATTGCTGTTACAAATCCCCATTTTACAGAGGAAGTAAGAAAGTGTCAGAAGTCACAGTAGGCAAAACCAATCCAAGTCTTCCACATGGCAAAGCACTTGATGTTAATATTTGTGTAAACCTACAGAAGCTGGGAATAGTTTGTCTTCCTTAAATACTTTATCTGTAAGTATTTATTCTCTGAGTCTAACTAATATCTTCATGCCCAATAACCTTCAACTTTGAATTAATAATTTTGTATTTGGTGACATCTGATGATAATGTTTTACTATATTTCTACTGTTTTAAATCACTTGCCTATATGTAAATTGACTCATAATTTATCAGATAATTTATGAGTGATTATTTCTGATGACACACATTTTTAAAGAGTTTCTTTCCCCCTATGTGAAGGAATAAATTTTCTATTTAAATTTCTATTTCATTCTCTTTTAACTCTATTATCTTTGGAGGAGAATGTCATTTTTTTTCTCTGCATTACACTTATCTCTATAAATGTTTATTATTTTTTATTAACTACTACCAGTTTAAATTTATTTTATTCATACAATTCAAAACCATAGTATACTCTTAATAAGGAGCAAGATCAGAATATAGGGCAAATATTTGGACCTATTACTAATTTATCAAAAAATCATTAGTTGAAATCACATTCTATTGATAACAGCTTATATTATAAACTGTCTACATTTCATGAGTTACTTTAAATGCCAGAGAAGTAACAGAGACAGGGTAATGGAATATTATATAGTGTTCAGGTTAAGATCTCATTTTAATGAATTTGAGGGACAGAAAATGTCATTACAATTGCATACATATTGCTTTCAAAATACCACAATATATTAAAAAGTGTCAAACTTTATTAAAAATATTCCCCACTATATATACAGATATTCATATAAAGGTCATCGTCTTCAATTTAGCCAGCTCACAAGCTCCTCTCGTTGCTGTGCCTGGAGATGTTGCTAGGTTGGCATGTTTCAGAGGTAATGTGCACTAATGTAGTCATAGATCTCTGGCTAAGAGGTGCCTCAAATCCAATCCACTTAAATCCAGACCTGAGTTCAAATCTGCCTCCACTGGATATAACCAGAGATCTGAAGAGTTACCGGAATAGGTATAAACAATTTGAGCAAGAAATTCCACTCTACTGATCAGTCATCTCTTTTTTGTTTGTTTGTTTAGAAATGATTCTATGGTATGCTCATGTGAGCATGGTTGAGGAGGAAATGGAAAGTAATTATCTGGATTCTACTAGATGAGGAGG